AATAGAATAGAGAATAGAATTAGAATAGAATAGAATAGAATAGAATAGAATAGAATAGAATAGAATAGAATAGAATAGAATAGAATACTTCATTGGGAGTGGAGTGGAATGGAATGGAATAGAACAGAACAGAACAGAACAATATTTTATTGGCCAAGTGTGATTGGACACACAAGAAATTTGTCTCTGATGCATAAGCTCTCAGGATACCTACAAACAACAAATATAATCAGTGTACATACACAAACAACATGTGCACACAAACAACAAGTATACCTACAAACAAGAAGGTAATACAACCATATGATACCAATAGAAGAAGATAGTAGAAAAGATGAAAAGGATAATTTAATAATAATACTAGTACTAATAATAATAATAATAATAATAATAATAATAATAATAATAATAATAATAATAATAATAATAATAGTGGGTAGATGTATACTTTCTCTTGAGAACAGGCAACAGAACTTCATTTTTAACCTGGGCGAGTGTGCTCATACAAAAAATGACAACAAAAGTTATCTCTTATCTTAATACAGCCATACCACATGGGTAAATTATCCTTAGACATAAGACAATATTGTGGTCATTAGGTTGTGTAAAATTGCGTTGTTTTTGTCCTGCCCCCTATAAACAGGAACCTCAAAGCTTTTTCCAGGGACTTCACGGCGAGAGAGAAACTAGGACCAGATTTCCTCAGGACCAACATTTCTCCAGCTGTTGGATCTTCAGAACCCAAAGCAACCGGAGTCCTTCCTTCTCCGGAAGCCCAAGAGCACCATGCTGCCACTGAAGGAACGGTTGAGAAGGAACCTTCTCAAGAAGCCGCAAGGGCAAACGAGGAATCCGAGAAGAAGGAGCTCCGCCTCAAGAAGAATAAAAGGAAAGAGAAAACTCGGGAGGATCTGAAGGAGGAGTCCTTGGCTAAGGAAATTGTGCACAAGGACAGGTCCCTTTTGAGCATCCTGGATCCCGATTCGAAGATGAAGACCACGATGGATCTCATGGAGGGGATTTTCCCCAGAGGCTCCAGGGCGCTTAAAGAAAGTGCAAAGAAGAGAATAATGCAGAAAAGGATAAAGGATTCTGCCAGTAATTTCTCTCCAGCCGGCAACAAGTAAGCTTCTTTTAAGTTTTTATATTATCCATCACAGAATAACAGAGTTGGAAGGGATCTTGGAGATCATCTAGTCCAATGGTCGCCAACCAGTGGGCTGGGGACCACTGGTGGTTCGCAAGAAAATTTGGGTGGTCCTCAGAGAAATGTCATCCCCAAAGCAATTAATCCAGTCTGCGCGGGAACACAAGGCTGCGCCGCCCGCATGGCCTGTGGGAATACAAGGCTTGCGTCGCTTGCATTGTGAACAGCACGAGGTAGTGAGGGGAGGGGGGAAAGGGCAGAGGGGGAGAGCTTGCCCCACTCGCCCAACGCACCTGGCCTGGACACTGGGCTGCTTTTTTCTGCTTCTTTCTTCTTCTGCTTTTAGCTGCACGCATGGAAAGCAGCAAAAGTCTTTCTTTCTCTCCCCCAAACTCCACCAGAAATGAGTCTTTGGGGCCCTGCAAGGCATCCTGCTCCAAGAGGCTGCGCCAGCGCTCTCACAAAGACTCATTTCTGGTGGAATTTGGGGGAGAGAAAGAAAGACTTCTGCTGCTTTCCTTGCATGAAGCCAAAAGTCTCTCTCTCTCTCCCTCTCTCTCTCTTTCACTGAGAACAGAGCTGGAGACGGTATCCTGCGATCCCAAATAAAGAATGATTGATCGGTAGGAAAAACGGGGTGGGGGATTTTCCTGCAGACATTTTTGGGGATTTTCCCAGGGTCTCTGGTCCGCGGGATTTCAAATGATGGGTCTGGTGGTCCCTGAGATCCAAAAGTTTGGCGACCCCTGTTCTAGTCCAACCCCCTGCTCAGGAAACTCGAAACATTAGTGTTTATCCCGCAGTGTTACAGAGCCTACTCAGTTTGATAGTAGCGCTCTCTTTAGAATCACGATATTTGCTTTATGACCATGGCATTCACTTAATGACCACCGTAGAAAAAGGATGTAAAAATGGGCCCAGTCACACGACAATCTGCTTTATGACCGTCATGACATAACGCTAATGGGCATATTCCATTACGGTTGTAAGTCAAGGACTATCTTGGACTATTTACAAAGTGCATGATATGGGGTACCTATATCTATAAAGTATGTGGTATAGGGGGCAGATGATAGGCATGACATAAATATACAGGTGATCCTCAACTTACGACCACAGTTGGAACCAGAAAATAAACACTAAAATATTGAAGTTTTGCTTATCTAATTATCCATGCAGCAAATTGGCCTTTTTGCTTAAACGTTATCTGCTAAAGTTTTTTTCTTTCCTTTTTAACTTGTGCGTTCTGTGCTGCAGTTTAAGTGGGATGAATAGAGTAAAAAGAAGTA